GGAGAGGAAGACAATTATTAACAAGATGAAGGAGTGGGTGAAGGAAACGGCCGGCCGGCCGAAAGACTGCTGCTGATGCTGCTGTTGCTGCTGTAGCAGGACTGATGATGGACTGACTAACTGACTGAATAGTTGCTTGGTTCGTGCAAATACTATTGTGAGACATCGAACGGCAGACGAGGTCTTTATTCCATTTGATATATTGTACCATTTTGGTTGATTTGCAGTATATATCTATCGTCCGTGTCTGTACGACCAGGCAGGATCTGTATGCGTTGAAGATGCAAATCAACTCAATTCATAGCTAATAGTACCTCAACGGCTATACAAAACTAAACGAATGAACATTTTTGCAGCAGATAACATGCATGCATTTTTATGCGGCGGCGGCTCATAAGCCAACAACCATAGCAAATCCACAATAGATGTGTTATGTCCGCAGCATATTTCATTTCATGTCAAGCTTGTTGGAGGTGGTGCACACGGCCAGCGAATAGACCAATAAATTTTTCAATAAACACACTGTGCTGAATCATACTAAGCGTGTTAATGAAGTTCAATTGCTACTCTCAGCCAGAGAGCATCACTCTATAAAGTTGACTGTTTGAACACTATCAACACGATCAACTTTTTTTTCAGCTTTCTTCTCACGCAGCATGTCAATCACACACACATTCATTTTGTTGTTTCAATCACTTGGAATATTTTGATCATGTTTGATCTTTCAAAATCAAGCATTTTGCAGCTAGTTTGCACACTCATTTGCTTGATTAGCCGCTAATGAATCAAAGCTACATTTCAAAGAAACCACTGGATCTCGAAGTAATGCAATAGCTCTGTGCACGAAACTGTTTTGAAATACCAGCGCCATTGTCATTTGAAATACCAGGAATACTATTGTCATTCTCATTGTTCGTTGAATTGCAATCGGTTGGTACCATTGGCTGTTCACCTATAGCACAATAACCTATTCTAGGAATCTATAAAGCATCTGTCACCAAAAAAATTCGCCGTTATTTTTCTCGTCTCGTTTAATGGTGATAAAATGGACACACACACACGCACAAACAACGAAAGCGATAACTGCAACGATAACAATAACAGTAAAAACAATCGCTAGCTGTCCGATGTAATTTTATTTGTTTGTTGCCATTGTATCATTACATCAGCATAATCTCATATAAAATTGCACTCTTGCTGGCACTCTCGTATTGAACTTCTTCAATTCGATCGAGACCTTTTCCGCTCATTATTACCACCAGCCAGCTTGCTTCTGCAACACTGTCAACAAGCAAAGCTCCTCCTTAAAACCATCAACGAACCAAACACACGGAAGCAGACAGAATTGAAACGAATGAAATGATCGAATGAAAATCAAATTGGTTGAACGTAAAAGCGTGCTCGTTAGAGCAGTCAACGAAACTTTCCAGACCAGACGTCTGTTAAATAGACCTACAGACTTGTAGACGCGACGTCTAAGGTTCACGGTTGACGCCTCCTTGCTTGATGCGAGTGGTGGTGCTGAAAAAATGTAACATACTTACCTACAACGACGTCGTCTCGTTTTGATGTGCTACACACTCGATAATTCGATTGTTAATTGATTAATCTGTTGATGAGTTCAGTTTTTGCTGATTGAACAAGACAAGAAGGAACCGCGATGGCGAGTTGGCAAGGTGGTGTGAATGGTAACTTAAACTCTTACTGGATCAGTTGTAGTGTTTGATAGATGGTGATAGCGGTGTGTGTCACGAATGACATAGTTGCAGTATATCAATGATGATTATGCAGCAAAATGGTAGTCACATGCAGTATTTTGAGTCGAAGCGCTCTACTGAGCTAAGCCCAACTCACTTTTAATCGTATCGAATACAGCTGATAATCTACTGAATCCACTCACCAAAATCGTGCGGTATACTTCGGTTGGACTTTTAGATTTAATACAGGATCGGTTCAATCAAGAATCTCCGCGTCTTTTTTTTTAGATGTACAACGGAAGAATGCGCTCAATCGGATTTGATCATGAGTTGATCCGATGAAAAATGGGAAGATGCACCTTGATCTGATGTGAATGATCAATAAAGTTCAGTGGCATCAGATTGTTGCCGTATGTACGGCGTGACAGTGCATAATGAGAAAATGGTTTCATTGAAAATGAACTTCGACAATAGCTATTAATATTTAGCATGTTCATACACAATACAAGCAATCAGCATTCGTGCGACTGTGTACACTTAACATGTGAATTAGCATCATGAACGAACAGGTGCAAATGAAACTGCTATGAGGTAGCTTATTGAGCAAGTATGCATACATGAAAAGATCCACTCAGTTTAGAGGTTCTTCGTAATTTGTGAAAAGTGTTCAGATGAGTTCTGTCGGCAAATCTCAGATCGTCACAGTGCAAATCAAATGTTTGCTTCAAAATTCAAGGACTAGGCCCTTCTTCACACCTCGCTTATCATACCTTCACTAATCTATCAATCTGGTTCATGTCCATACTGAAATTCATGTTGTGGCAATACAAATAAATGATTTTCAGTAATGAATCGGATAAAAATCTACTGCAGTCTTACAATTAGGGTCTGGGTACAGTAGTGGTGGTAAACTGTGAAACTGTACAGCCTCTTTGTCAGATTTCGATTCGTTGTTTTTTGCTTCGTTGAAGCACTCGACGCAAGCCAAAATACCATGAAAATTTCAAAGTAACACTGAATTTATCTCCCTTTACAATCTATCACGATTGTTTTCACCCTTGTTTCCATTTCATGTTTCATTTTTATTCAAGCAAAAAGCTTTCTTCACTCCACGGTCGCACACCTTGAATCGTTCTTCAGTGCCGTTGAAGTAAATTGCCAATTGTTTTTGTTACCGAAAAATTCAAACTTTTGACTTTTGTGAACTCATTTTTGATGGATGAAGTAGACAATTCTAATGCTGGAAAGAATGGAGAGGAAACGATGGCAAAAACGATGAGGAAAGTAAAAATTGGGAAATTTGAAAGTGATACGAAGCGATAAGAGGAAATGGCGATGGTGATGATGTATTTTATTGATGCGACACATTTTATGTTGTTGTTACATTTATTCATTCATTGTTCACTTATATTCCTTCACACGACTCATTCCATTCGTTTCACGTTTATTTTATGGCTAATTTTGAGCAAAAAATCCCACAGACACCGAAATGCACATACGAGTTGACGCAAATGACTGAAGTCACACTTAACATCGGCTGTTGCCATTGGCTGCGCTTTATTGACGCTACTCAATTGTAGCGGAATTGTAGCGGAATTTATAATCAGGAAGTGGATGTTCCGCAGGATGTAATTCTCTACTAGAGTGTAGCAAAAACTTCAGAGATCTGATAAATACGTCAAAAAACATCAAGCAGCATATCGATTGCAATCTGCGAACGTTTGTTACACCGTTGATCAGTAACAGACTATCATGATAGCTTGAAGCGCTCGATGCACTCAGAATTCATCAGGAAGAGCAAAAGTTTCTGTTTTCTTGAAATTTAAGTACTTCAGAAGTACAAGAAAACAAGCAAAGTTGCAAAATGAAGTTGAAAGTTTCAGAGCTTTGGCTAGGTTGATGAAAATATATCGCCACGAATAGAGTGCAGTCCTAACGCCCTCCTCAACACAGTTGATCTGTCTGCTGATCACCATTGCACCATTAAATTGACAAGATGAACACCATCTTCAAACTATCAGAAGCGTGATTCTCGTCAGCAACTTGATAATTTCGCTACTTCATTACATGAATCAGTAATCAATGAAGTGATGACATAATTATGCTGTGCTGCAAAAATCTCAATTTGAAATATCCAGTTGTCGAGAAATACCTTCATTTCTCGAGAATCACGGGTGAAGTATATTACAGTGGCTAGAATTTCACTGCATCGCTCAAATTTATGCTTGTGATCTCTTTATTTATAGATAGGTTGATTTGCTTTCGAAACTCATTAACTAAATAACACATGCATTACAGAAGATTTTCATGAGACGGAAAAAGTTCGGTGCTTGAAGCAATGACGTAACCGTTAAGTCCGTTTGCACTTCAGCAGAATTTTTCTCATCTCATCCTTGTCGATAAGATGAAAGCTCCCACACTCGCCACCAATGGAGTTCTTTTCGTCCATTAATTGTCTCACTGGGCCACACTGCACTTGAATTACTTCATCACATAGCGATTCGTCATTCTCAAGTAAGCATCAGATTCGTCGAATTGATTGATATGATGCTTTTTGCAGTAGCCGTGTGAATATTTTCATTCACGAGAATGTCTCTTATCGTTGATCGTTACTGAATGAAAAGTCACGAAAATGGCTGATTATTTCATTTGTGACAATTGATTATCCGAATTGACTTTAATTGTGTGTAACGAAGTATCAGAGAAATTGAACGTTATTGCATCCGAATGTAAGAAACGAATTTGTTTCAAATCTTTGGTTCCAATCGTTTGGAAAAAATGGTCGAATGAGTGTAACCTATCTTCGAACGTTCAGTTATTTGCCGAGTTTTTCATCTCACTCTCCGAATGCTTCATTTATCTAAATCGTTGCGTTGCTATTGTTGTTGTTATTCTTCTTCGAGACAGCGTCGTAATTCCACTGGTGATAAAGTTGAGCATATATCAATTCGGAAGTCTGTGGCGGCCGTTGAGCGAGCGAGCATAAGCAGCCGGGCGCTGAGTTTTTATTTTTTGATATACAGTCAATGTCCTACGGCCATCTCTTGAATTGAATTTAATTCTCCAAGCTTTTTGCTGATTCACATGTCAAAATGAGCAAAAAGTTCTCCAAGTGCATTCATTAATTAACCAGTCTTTAGTGGCATTTCAATTCGATTCGTTTCCATTCGATTCAATTTGATATAATTGTATACTTTCACACTGATTCATTCGTTTATTGCCATGACATTAATTTTATTCGTTTAATCGTCGTTGTTGGATTTCAACGAGATGATGTGTTGTTCGTTGTTGTTTTTCACTAGATCAATCACTGAAATCACTGCAGCGCGAGTGAATCAGTGGAACCCACACAAAGCATCCATCCGTTACAAAATGAAACACGACCAGCATGACCACCCGTAAGCGCAATTTTCGGCGAGACGAGACTCTGCAAAAATGAAACATTGCGCCCCTTTCCGTTAAAAAAAATCTGCTACCGTCAGACTGGTTAATTAATGAATGAGTGGTTGATATCGAATGAGAACAAGCCAAAACGATTAAAATTCCGAAACCAGTCCATGCAGTTAGTGGCTCTTTATCACTAGATCAAATCCTTCACTTTGATATGTCGTATGTTTGAAATCATTTTTTCATTTTTTGAGC